CTTATCACTTGTTGGGGGCAGGGCACCCTGTGCTCCCCAAGACCCTCCTTCCCCGCAGTCTGGTTCTTTCCCCCGGCACAGAGGACACCTCTGGGGGTTGGGACATGGAGGGCATGGGTTCGGCTCAAACACGGGAAAAGGAGAATGAGGAAGAACTTTGACATTTGGCAAACATGAAGTGTCCCCTTCAGGGACAGAGACTGGAGGTGGGTTTGTAAACGCAGCGGTGAGGGAGAGCTGCCGACACCTGCGGGGATCATGGTCCTCGGGCCGCACCTTGACACCCGGGTCAGGTCTTGGAACGAGCCCTGTGGTAGGCACAGTAGTGGTGTTAGTGGGGAGAGAAGGAGGACGGGGAGAGGGAGGGATCACAGTGCTTTAGGGCTTTCCCCCGGCTCCATCCCAGCTCTGGGGTGGGAGCCGGGGGGAGGGGGAGTGGGGGGGGTGGGGGGGGTGGAGGCACAGACCCAGCTTCAGACCCCACCTTCCCAGGCGCCTGCCTCTGGGTCCTCCAGCAGGGTGCTTGGGTGGGCTCAGGCTCGGCAGGGTGGGCCGGGGGCACATGACACCAGGGTTTTCCCCACTGGGGCTCAGCAGCTGTGGGGATACTGGGGAGAAATGGATTGTTTGGGGGAAGAGGGAACAGAGCCCCTGAACGGGAAGCACAGGTGCAGAGTGATGGGGCCGGTGCGAGCCAAGGTCATGTTATCCCGGCTTCTGTGAGCCTGGGGACCCTCCCTCCTCTGAACTGGGGAGGGGAGGAGGGGGCTTTAGGGAGGTTGTGCAAGGGGAGCCAGAGAATTTGCACGCCTTTGGGATTTTATGAGTTCAAAAACCGTGCTCCAGGTTTAAGACAGAAAGGATGGGAACAAACAGAGGCCAGAGAGGCAGGGGTCTCCTGGGGCTGCTCTGCTGGGGACTGGGCAAGAGGAGGCAAGAGGCGTCCCAGGGAGGTGAGGCTCATCCCAGCAGAGGCCACCTCTTCGTATCAAGGACTTCAAGGATCTCCTGGAGGGAGGTTATACTTCATAACTTAATACTTCGTAACATGCGTAAACACAAAGTTTTGAAAAAATAAATATGCGTCATGCCCTATAAACTAGAAGTGAAGGGAGAGTAATGATGGAGGGAGCGACCCTACGTGTTTCTGGGACGGCGCGGGAGGAGGTGCGGGGGTGGCTCGCCCCGCACAGAGCCGCCCTCGGCGGCGAGTGCTCCCCTAGGAAGGCAGGCAGCCCCCCACCCACCCCGGCGGACAACGCACAAGCCATGAGGGCCCCGTCCCTGGTGGTGACGTGTTTGAGATGATTCCTCTTGGCCAAAGTTCCAAACTCCGCGAAGCCTTCCCTCGGGTCGCATGATGCTGCATCCTGGGAGATCCTGGTATCTCCAAACTTCGCAAAACCCCAAACCACAACTTGGCGTTTGGATTGAAGCAGAAGAAGTTTCTAGGGTCAAAGTCATTGTAAATAGATCTGTGGCTGCCCTGAGTATCCAGCAGGGAGTCCATAGGTGACCCTGGCACCCTGCAGCCCCCTGCCCTGTGTGGCTCTCAGCCCACTGGATGCCAATAGTGTCCCCCTCTCATCCGATACCCGGAAACATGCCACAGATTTCCAAACATCCCCGACAGTGTGAGGGCCCCACTGAGGACCACTGGTCAAGACCATGTGTCGCTGGGCCCCCATCAGCCCACCAAGCCTTCATCCTGTGTCTTGGTGATCCCCTCCTGCCAAAGACCACAGGAACTTGGTGAGCCAAGGGACACCGTGCATCCCGGGGCATCTATGTAAGACGATGTTAGAAAGGACGAACTCTAGGACTTGGGTGTGTGTCATGTGATTCGGGAGATGCTCAAGGACACGGGTGCTGGTGGGAGGCAGAGGTAGCTGAGAGATTGAGTATCTTAATATATCTTATCTAGAAGGGGGTGGGACGAAGCCAGGCAGGAGCCAGCAGAAGGGGCTGGTGGGCCCTGGGTTCGGGTCAGGTCATCCAGGCTGGGGTAGTGACTGGGGGTGTCTCCCTCCTTCAAGACCAGTGGTCTGGCCAGGACTTGTTTGCAAGAACACCACAGCCCCCCGACCATGGGCTCCGGACAGGGCTAGGTGAGGCCTGAAATTGAAGGGGGTCCCTGAATCTCAGCAATCAGGATAAACAGTGTTTTCGTGGAGTATTTTTTTTAAGTGGCTTGCAGAGTCCCCAGATGTCCATGGTATTTATGGGGACAAGTGAGCCACAGGTTTTGCTTGCTCCTCTGGTTCTTGACACCGGCTGGAGAAGAGTCACAGTCTTTAAGTCGGGGTCAGGATCTGCCTCTTGAACTTGGAGACCCCGTCCTTCCCGACCACCCGCTTTGTGTCCATTGTGGGGTGTCTGCACTGCACAGGTGGAGGTGCCCGGCTCCTCTGCCTGGCTGGAAGGGGCCAGGGCCGGAGCCGGGACCTACCCGAGGACTGAGGTTTGCCAGGCCTCTGAGGCTTTTGGAAGCTCCCCAGATGACTGTAACATCCACGTTCATTCCTCGAGGTATTTTTGAGGCTACTAGCTTGGGGTGGGGGAGTGCAAGCATTCACGCTGCTTGGAACCCCCGGAGCATGAACTTGCAGGAGGACCCTCTGTGTTCCCTGCAGGAACCACAGAAAGAGAGGTCTGGGGAGAGAACTTTGAGTCCCAGGATGAGACAATTAAGCATCACCCCCAACCCAGATGATTCCCCTGAGCAGGGAGGTCATGGGAAGGAGGCCCCTGTGCTGGGGGGTGAAGGTTGTTTCCCCCTCCGAGTCTGGCCTGGGGTCTTCCCAAGTTGGCTGGGAAGAGCCCTCAAGACCTGAGCGCCCAACAATGGGATAGAAGACATCGCTTGGGGGTGGGGGTCGTGGGCAGGGCCGCCCCCCCCTTGGTGGTGCCTGCAGTCAGGCGGAGAAGGGTGGCTCTGATCTGGCCACCGAGTGAGGCATTGACAGCGGTGTCTGACGGGCGACGGAGGCTCGGTGGCTCTCCTGGGCGGCAGGCTGCATCCAGGAAGGGTGGGGTGCAGAGGCCTGGGGACCCTCGGGCCTCCACGGGGTCAGCGGCTGTCCCTGTCACCGGCCAGGCCTCGACACCCCCCGCCCCCCACTCAGCAGGTATGCGGCCAGGCCTGGCAGCCACAGGGCTCCGGGGGCCCTTGTGGTCACCGGGAGGTGAGCCTCTTCTGAGGGCCTGCCAGCCGCAGGGCGAGAGGACCCAGCAGCTCCTGGTCACCCAGAGTGCTCCCTGGGATGCCCGGCCTTTGGGATACTGGTTCCTCAGCTGTAGGTCATGGGCCTGGGTCATCCTCCATGAAGCCAGGACCCAGGGGTGCCCAGGGACATGGGAACACGCGCTGAGAGCCGCAAGCAGGGAGGTGGCCCTGCGGTCGTCTATGGACACCCGGAGTGGGTCCGGGGGAGCCACGGAGCACAGACACTGACTCAGGACTGTTGGAGAGGAAAGACAAGGGAGGGGACCCCTCACTGGGAGGACGTGGTATGGCCGGCGCATGGTGACCAGCAGCTGGGGGACGGTGCCAGCCAGGCCCAGGCATGAGGACTTGCCCTGGGGGAGAAAATGCTCTCCCACCGGGGCCTCAAGCGACACATCTGCCCACCCGATACTTTTCCACTGATGGTAGAAACCTGACCCAGCACACACAGGGCGGCGAGGGCCAAGGTGACCTATCTGGAACATGCAGGAAGCATTGCTGTAACTGAGGAAGGGACGGGGGAGGAAGGTGGGCTCCCTGCTGAAGATTCTGGGGGGACCCTGTCCCTCCGGTGGCCCTGCTGGGGCAGGTGGGAGGACGGTGGAAGGAGGAGTCTGGATCAGGGTAATTCTGGGAGGTACAGGGTGGGGGGGCTGTCACCGTTGCTGAGGCCGAGGTGCAGGAGGGCAACAGAGCCCCCCGCCCTGGAGGGAGGGCGCGGGGTGGGTATCAAGGGGGACGGTGACAGCACAGCACAGTCCCCTGGCCTCAGCTAAGATCGGGCCTGGCCTCAAAGGCTGGGCTTGGTCTGTGAGGAGAAGGGGACACAGAGGCAGAAAGAGGGGGGCACGTCCAGGTGAACGCTGCTCGGGGTAGCAGCATGCCCAGGGGAGGGAGGAGGCTGTGCTTTGCATGCACCAAGTGGTCTGAGATGTTTCCAGAAACGTTCACTCCCTGGGCCTGGGCATGAGAAGGAACACACAGGGCTTTGGATTCAGAGGCCAGGGCGTCCTGCCGTGGCCCCCGCACCGCAGACCCCATTGCACGGGCCTTTTCGAGTCTTTCTCCTTATGGTTCCTCATCCGTGAGGCCGGGGTCATAATATCTCACTTCCAGGGACATGCTCAGCTCCGGGAACCCGGCCCCAGGGGCTCCAGAAACGCAGCCTGTGGTTCTGATGGGAGCTGGTGCCTGTTTTTCGGTAGGAGGAGGCCTCCGACCAAGAAGCCCCGCTTCCGTCGGGCTCGGAGGAGCACGCGGGGAATCTCCGGCCGCGAGAGGCCGGCAGCACAGGCAGCTCTCGGGACTCCCCGCAGGCCGGTGCGTGGGGAGCTACGCGGCCCAGAAAGTCAGCGACGGGCGCAGCAGCCTGCATCTAGGGGGTCGTGAGGCCTCCGCGAGAACCCGAGACAGAATCCTCGCGGTGAGACTAGCTCATTTCTTCACAAAGCCACATCCGTTTTCAGAGGAAAAAAAGTAAAAGGAGGCCACCAAGGGGTCACCGGTGCTAGACTTGATTTGCAAATAAATCCGGAAAAAGTGCCAGTTGGAAACATGGCTTTATTGGTTTGCTCTCTCCGCGAAGGAAGACATGAATCCTCTTTTTTTTTTTTTTTTTTTTTGGAAACTTACATTTGAAATGCCTTTTCGGAATTCGCAGGGGGCGGTTGGCCTACTGAAGAGGCTGCTCGGCCTCCCTGCCTCCCTCCGCAGGGCTTGGTCTGAGGCCTCTGACAGCCTCACGCAAACGATGCAGCTATTTAGGGATCACCTCGCAGTTCCGAGGCCCCCCCAGGAGGGAGGCCCTGGGCTGGAGGTGGAGGTGTTCCTACCCCCTCCAGCCACCCCCAGGTGGCAGAGGCTGAGAAAGGAGGTGAGGCTGAGAAAGGAGAGCCGCTTGGGAGAAATAAAACACAAGAGCATCGAGTCTCAGGAAGGAGGAACTGCCCTCGTGCTGAGTACGGGGATCTTTATTCATTCAGACATCAGGCCCCAGGAGCTAGCTTTGGCCAGGAGCAGGGTGAGAGAGAAGCAGGGATGAGCCAGGGGACAAGGTGGGGCATCCCGGAGAGGGGGAGGTCGCTTCCCAGGGTGTCCAGGGCCGAGGGCGCGTTGCTTCAAAATCTGCATTCTGGAAACAAAGCACAGGCTTGCATCCCCACGACCTGCCTCGGCTCCACCCACCGGGTGCCTGGCTTCTCAAGGTCAAGACAGGCTCCAAGGTCAGGGCCTGGGGCTGCATTCACCCAGAGTCCAACCTTGTCCGGGAAAAGTGTTTGAGTGTCCAACCTTCCGAAGAAGAGCCCACCGGAACCTAGGGGCTCGGGCAGGTGATAGGAGAGATGGGCCTCAGCAGGGCGGCTGCCAGCCCCCGAAGGAGAAGGGGTAGGACCCTCAGCCCCCACCCCACACGGAGGGGCCCCAAGGAATGAGGAGAGCCAGCAAAGAGGCAATGGACAACCCCTTCCTGGTCCCAAAACCTTATCTGGGCCTCTGCCTGGATTTGCCAGGAAGGGGTAGGAGGCCCGGGGCACTGGGCCAGGGGGCGGGCATCATCGATGGAGATTCGGGGGGTGGCTCGCATTGGCTGCAAGGCGGCCCCATTCCCTTATCACCCTGGGACAAAGGGCGGGTACTGACTCCAGGAAGGGACCTACTTCCAAGTAGGGGCCTGTGTCCTTAGAAGGCATTTGGACTGCCAGGTGGCTTATAGCAGGCCTCACCCCCGAGATGTTGGGGCGGGGGGTGCTGACGGAGCCAGGGTGGCACCCACCCGCATGCGCCGACACCTGCTCACGGCGGACAGGGGGTGTCCTGCCCCCGCTGCACCACTGAGGCACTGGGGTCTGGGATCAAGTCCCGCATCAGGCTCCTTACGGAAGCCTGAATGTCTCTGCCTCTCTCTCGCTGTCTCTCTCATGAATAAATTAAATCTTTAAAAAAAAAAGAACAGGGCGCCTGTGCCACTCGGTGGAGGCGGGGCGGGGGGAGACGGTGGGGTGTGGACGGGCACCCGGCTCCGTGCCCGCTGCTGCACCGTCGGCCCTGCCAGGACCACGTCACAAGGGCAGGGGTGTGTTTGCTGAATGCGGCTGCAGGCATTGGCCCGGCCTCCCAGGCCTGGGCATTTTCCATTTCCCTCCAGGACAGTCTTTTAACTAGTTCCCTCGACGTTGTGCCTTGACTTTGAACATCTTTTTGGAACAGCTGCTATTAGATTGGGCACAAACCTCTCCGCAGAGGGACAGCTGGGACCGCCACGGGCCGCCGACTGCCCTGGGCACGACTCCTCTGACCGAGGCCTCCACCGCCGGACAAGCCGCGGCGCTGGGTGTCCCACCCGGGCGTGCGTGGCTTCCTGGGGACCTGGGGGCTCCCCCCTGGGGCCGCTTACCTGTGTCCTGCAACGGCTTGAAGCACCAGGGCACCCCATGGATGCTGGAGTCGAAGCAGCAGCCCCGATTGACGCACTGCTCGGAGGTGATCTCGGGGTAGCCGCAGTCCACCCTGTCCTTGGGCGGCACCTCGCACAGGTTCGTCGCTGTCCCAAACGACACCCGGTCAGCACCCGCAGCCCTTGCCGGCCTGGGTCGGTCTGCTGACTTCATCTTGTGAGCACGCAGCCTCCCCCAGCATCTGGGGTGGAGGCACAGGACCCCGGTCCCACCCCGGCATCTGCTTGAGGACGACCCTCGCCCATGGACGGTTTCACATGCTCGGGGGGAGCTCTGGCCTCTGCCAGGGCGCCCCTCGCACTCGTGTGCCCCCAGGGCCCCGTCGGGGAGCCCACGGGGCTGCGGTTCCCTCCAGCTGGCAGGAACCCCTGGAAATCTGGGGGCCCCTGAACCCAGAAACAGAGTTCCCCTTCACTGATCAATAAAAAACTGTCCCCTTAAAAAAATGAATAGTATAATAGGCGACACCCTCAAAACAGAAGACCACAATGCGAGCTATTTTTTGCCTCTTTTCTGTGTCCCCCTGTCCCCCATTTACTCGGTTTGTCACACCTTCCCAGCACATCCTTCCATCCTCAACTCTTGTGTCTCAAGCAAGCCTATGTTGGCTCCAGTTCTGCAACGTCTGCCTCGTTGCCTGACGGGATTTTTCTTAGGAAAACAGAAACCGCAGGAGATCCCCGAAATCCTCTCCTATCTCTGCTACCCGGAAAATTCTCGTTCCAGCGGCTCCGAACGTCGCTCCCACTGGGACCCCCGAGACGGTGTGGCGTGGTGGGGGCATCCCGGGCTACAGCAGGTGCACGGCTCCCCAGGTGACCCGGGGGGCACCCTGGCTGGGAACCACTGCCTCTGGCACCTGATAAGAGCCGCACCCTAATTTCTTCAAACTTGGGTCGATGGGATAGTCACGCCCCCACCCCCACCTGCAGGCACAGTGCCCGCGCTGAGTGAAAACTGCCTGCGTGTACCGAAAATGTTCTGGAAGAAACTGCTTCCACCGGTCTTTCTGTTCCATAAACGTGCCAGCACAGCGCACAAAGACCTCTATGGTAATTCAGAAATCTGAGGCCGAGGGCGATGGGGCAATAGGGTCGGCAGCGGCTGCCAACAGGCCGGTCAGACCTGGGTTCTAACCCGGTTCCAGCCCTGCCCGGGAGGGCTGCCCACAACCAGTCACTCGCTTTCTGAGCCTCAGTTTGCTTGTCTGTAAAATGGAAACAGCAAGATCCAGTTTGTGGTGCTATTGAGAGGGACCGTGTGCATCCAGTGAATGGCAGTTACTAACGGACGAGGGGGCTTGGTCACCTTGCCCCGAGCCCCCACGAGGCCCCCCGAGCCTGGGCCCTGTGCCCCTGCCCTGCTCCTCTGTCCCCACTCTGCCACCAGCCCCCTCCTTCCCACGGAGTGGAGAGGAAGTCCGAGCAGTACTCACCCAGGCCCTGGTAAGCCACTGCCAATCTGGAGGACCCCAAGACCAGGACCACCACCAGCAGCCAGAGCACTCTGGCCTCCATGGTCACGGGTGGGCTCTGGGGACCCGACCGCTCAGAGATCGTGCCGCGTCGGCCCAGAAGACGCATTTATACCCTTGTGTTTGCCCAGGTCCTCTGGCTTCTGTTTGTCTGGGGACGGCCCTTCCCTCTGGCTCTGGCCGCACCTACTTCTCCCGGCGCAGGGCCCTACAGCCCCCAGCGGCTCGTCTTCCTGAAGGCAAGAGGCAGTCCGACCCCACGGCGGTAGCAAGCAGCGGTGGGGCCAGACTCCAGTCTCTGGGTTCACTCCTCTCCGGGGAGCAGGGCTGTGGGTCCAGGCTCGGCCAGCCTCGGGGAGAGGATGAAGTCTCAGTTCAGGGCCGGACAGTGGCCAGCAGCCCAGGCAGGAGCAGTCCAGGAGGCTCCCTCCTCACTGAGCACAGCGCCCGGAGTCCCAGACCGGCCTTGGGGACTTGAAAAGTCGGGTCCCGCCGGCGAGTCAGGCACACCGCACACCCGGAACTCGTTTCCTCCTCGAAATTCTTAAAAATCCCGTCCTTTCTGTTTTTATTGTTGACAGCAAGATTTATTTTTAGCATTAAGTACACTTTCATAAACGTCTTCAGTAAACTTACTCAATATTTTAATGAAATTCAATTTAATAAATTGTAATATTTTGATAACAAGAGGATGAAGGCAGTGGGTTTTGAAAAAATCAGACAATACCAAATAAAGCCCTCCCCTGTCTAGAGATACCTGTGTTTAACACTTCTTTCTTTCTTTCTTTTTTAAGATTTTATTTATTTATTCATCAGAGACACACACAGAGAGGCAGAGACACAGGCAGAGGGAGCAGCAGGCTCCCTGCGGGGAGCCCGATGCAGGACTCGATCCCAGGACCCCAGGATCACAACTTGAGCCGAAGGCAGATGCTCAACCACTGGGCTACCCAGGCAGCCCTGTGTAACACTTTCTTAGGTGTTTTTCCAGAAAAGTTTTCTCCAGATCCAAGCACGTTTTCTTTTTCTCTTTTTCTTTATCTTTTCCAAGCACATTTTTAACCCGAATGAGAACTTACGAGACACATTTGCTCATCCGCCTTTTTTTTTTAAATGAAGGGCATATCCTGGAAATTATTTTATCACAACCTATCAAAACGAGATGGGAATAATTATGCTCATGGTCCAGAGAAATGAACTGAGGCTCACAATCTAAGGTGCCGTTGGGGCTTCCTCTCATGGACCAGGCGGAGCTAGGATCTGGAAGCAGGTGCACCTGGCTGGTCACCTCAGCACCCAGGTAGGGGGTGCGGGGTTGGGGGGGACCTGAAGCACCCCAGAGTTTGTCCACAGAGCTGTCCTCCACGCGGTGACTGAGGGGCCTGGCTGTGCTCGCGTTGGCAACGGGGGTTGGGTCCCACCTTGTGACAGCCCAGGCCTAGCCCGTGAGGACCCAACCCTCTCCACCTGGTTTGCACCCCTCTTGCAAGACAAGTGCAGGCTGACGGCAGAGCTCTGTCTGTGTTGTCTTAAGGCCTGGCTTTGCGCCCCGCAGGAGAGCGTGCACTGACCTCACAGATGACAGGAGCTGCGTTATTAAAAGATCATTGTAGAGAAAATCCCCGGGAGCCTCTTCTGGATGGACCTCTGCCTTCCCACTCCCCACAACATCCTCGGGCCCGGCAGGGTCATGGAGCTGAGTCAGGTCCCAGGAAAGTGGAAACACCCCAGAATTGGGCTCAGAAGGGACAGCTGTTTGAAGCTGCTGGAGTGCCCCAGTCTCCACCCAACCGCACTTGGGATCCTCTGGGGAGAAGGAACCGTATGGGCGCTGTCCCTCCCGGAATCTTCCCTGAATCCTCCCGGAGTCTTCCTTGAATCCTCCCCGAATCTTCCCCGAATTCTCCCCGAATCCTCCCCGGCAGCCAGCGCCCAGCCACCACCGCAGAGAAAAACCACCCGGCCTTTCGCTTCCGTGAACTCAGTTGATGTCAACTGAGCCTGGGGCTTGGAGGGCTGAGGTGATAAACCCCTGCCCTTGGAGAGCCCCCCGTGGGGAGACAGGGTCGTGTGGGACTTCCGATGGGAAGCTGACAGGTTTGGTCCCAAGTCACTTTACCGCCTGGGCCCCAGTCTGCTGTCCTGTCACACACACCCCGCTCCCAGGGCTGCATGAGGGGGACACGCAGAGTGAGTCGGGCACCTGGGGACATCCGTCCGTCCATCACCTGCCGGGTGACCTGGACCCTCGGGTTTGATGGATGGGCAGCCGAGGCACCGGGGGCAGCAGGGCTTGAGCTGGGCTGCCAGCCGGGGACAGCACAGACCTCTCGGCGGCCAGCGGGCCCGAGCTGGCCCGTGGGGACTAGAGCGTTGGGGAAGTGTTTGTGGGGGGAAGGTCCTGTGTGTTTGTCTCCTCTGTTCCAGCAAACTCTCCAGCCAGGGGCAGAGGATGGGGTCTCAAGGCCCCACTGTGCCTTCCAGAGCTCACAGGTCTGTAGCCTTCTCCAGCCTCCCTGCTGACCCTGGGGGGTTGGGGAGCTCATCTTCCAGGAATGAATGAAAACCAGGGCCAGAGCTGCAAGCCCAAGGACTGTCACCAGCCCCACCCTGACTAGTGGGTGCCTGTGCGCCCCTAACTCCTCCTCTCAAGCCTTCCCTCTGCCACAGTCTCTCTGGCCATGTGTCTGGACTGTCCTGGGACCTGCCCCTCCGAATCCCTCCCACCCTGAGCTTTGTGTGCTGGTGTCCCAGGGAAGGTGTGGTTCTCCCGGAAGCTCCGAGCAGCGGGTGGTCTGGCCCTAAGCACTGGGGCTGCACAACCTCCCACCCGCAGAGTGCATGGCCGATGGCATGTCTGTGTCACAAGGAGGGACTGAGCGTGGATGCAGGGCAAGTGCTCAGTCTTCTAATGTTGGACCCTAAGGACCAAGCAGAGCCCCCCGACCCCAGAGCCCACAGGCCAGTGAGGCAGAGTAAGGCTTGACATGGGGATCGCGAGGCAGCGTAGTAAGGCTTCTCTTTGCGAGTGCAGTCTGAACTGGGTCTTGAGGGGTGAAGAGGAGTTCCCAGGTGGGTGAGGGTCAGAGGGTGTTCTGGGCAGGAACAGCTAACACTCAAACACAAGAGTCGGCGTGACCTACACAGGCTTACATATTCTGTGCTGCCTCTCGGCTCCCTGAGACTGTCACTTTTGGTGATTCAAGGCAGCAAAGAGCCAGATGGAGGGAAAAGATACACAGCCCGGTTAATCGGCACACCTAGGTTAGCCCTGGGATCACACACCTCCCTGGGGAACCTCCTATTGACCTGCTGTCACGCCGTTCTGCAGCTGCCCTGGGTGTGGGCACCTCCCTCTGTGCTCTTGCACAGAACTTCCTCCTGCTTTCTGGAGAGGGGCTTTCAGACACTTCCTGGAGGCTCCTGTCTTTGGTGTGGATAAATGGAGGGGTAGCTGGGGGGCACTGTGCAGTTGGCTCCCCCACCAACCCTGGAAGAGGGGACGGTAGAGGACAGAGGGCCCTGGTGAGTCAGAACACAGGCCCTGAGCCCCAGGACCCCCCTCACGGGCCTTGTGCCTCCCGCCCCCAGCACTGGGCCAGTGGCTGTCCTACTATATACGGGCGCATGTGACAGCCCCTGGGTTTCAGAGGAGCCAATGTTTAGACCAAAGCCTACTGCTGGTGGTTTCTTTTCTTTTCTTTTTTTTTTTTTTTTTAAGATTTTTATTTATTTATTCATGAGAAACACACAGAGGGAGAGAGGAACAGACAGAGGTACAGGGAGAGGGAGAAGCAGGCTCCATGCAGGGAGCCTGACGTGGGACTTGATCCCAGGTCCCCAGGATCACACCCTGGGCCGAAGGGAGTGCTAAACCCCTGAGCCACCCGGGCTGCCCCTGCTGGTGGTTTCACCATAGTTGGCCCGACTCCAGAGCTCCTTTGGGTTTGGGGGCTGTTGCATCAGCCCCAGCTGCTGTGACAACCAGGAAAGTTTCCCAGGAATGAGTGAGCTGGTGACCAGGACACCAAAGGAAGAGCGATAAGTTAGAAATAAACAGAGCTAATAGCCAGGGAGCAGATGTGCCTGGGGGCGCCAGGCCCCTCATTGACAGCCCCGCCTTGCAGACCCGGATGGGCCTTTCTTGAGCAGCTGGACCAGCTCCAACAGGAAGCCCGGGCTCTGGCAGTGCATTGACACGGGGCATGGGACATGGAGATGCCCCCGACCTGCACCTGTTGCATGCCGGCCCTTGGCACTGCGCTGAGCCGTGTCCCAGGAGGACAGCCAGGGAAGGCGGAAGATGGTCCTCTGCCAGCTGCGCTGGGCAGCCCCTGTGCTCTCGGGTTTCAGATTTCTTCCCTGTGAATCAAGCCATTGTCACCAAGTGACTTCCCAGTGTGCTGGAGTGGAGACTGTCCTCCCAAAATCCATATCCTCCCTGGAACCGCCGGGCATGGCCTATTTGAAACTGGGTTGTTGCAAGTGTAAGTACTTAAATTAAAATGAGGTCAGACAGGAGTGTGGTGGCCCTTAGTCCAATATGGTTGGTGTCCCCAGAAGGACAGAAACACAGACATGCAGGGGGACAGCATGTGATGATGGAGGGCCCGGTGGGCGAGATGCAGCGAAGAGCTGAGGAGCCCCCCAGGACTGCCTGCAGCTGTGGGAGGTGGAAGAGGCAGGAAGGACCTTCCTCCAGCGCCCTGGCGGGAGCACAGCTTGTACCTTCATTTCAGACTTTGTGGCCCCCGCACTGTGAGGGAGGGGCTCTCTCTGCGGGAACCACTAGTCCGATGACCTTTGCTATGGCAGCCCCAGTGCACACGAGGCGCATTTAGCCCAAGAGCTACCTTCACTTGGGTTTTCTCGCAAAGGTGGCGGTGGGGGAAGCACCCAGGGAGAGACCCGGAGAGCTGGGGCCCCGGGGACCTTCCCCTTTCCCACCCTGACCGAGCTTCCCATGGCCTCTTCCTGGTGCTCAGGGCCCTGCCCCCCCAGCCCCGTCCGCTGTGCCAACCACACGCCCACGCTTCCATCCCCACCCTAGGCCTACACTTGCCCTCCCTGTGCGCCTTCAATCGCTGGTCTCTACAAATCGCTGGTCATGTGAAATCA